GTCTCCCCATTTTTCCAGCACTTTGGGACGGTGTCATGGTGATGCCTAAATCCGGCTGTCTAAAACAGAGGCTGGGCAGAATTGAGAGAATCCAAAGCATTTCTGTTGATTGCAGTGCCCTCAGGGCCAATCAGGGCTGTCCCAGCCCAGCCAGGGGCTGCACCCACGATGGACAATGCCCACCCCCTTTCCTGCCGTGCCGGGGCACATCTGGCACTGACACATCTGGGTCCCTGCACCGGCTGGTCACAGCCACCCTCGGTGGTGACCACGCGTGACAGGAGCGGGGTCCGGACCGGGGACAGCCCCGGGTGAGTTCCTGTCCCGCAGGACCGGGGTCACCGGCTCCTCCCGGCCCCTTCCCTGCCCGCCAGCCCCTCATCTCACCTTTGTCTCCCTGAGCCCGGAAGCTTCCAATTAAAACTCCCAGCCCGCTCGAAGTTCTTGTCTCATTAAGGGGGGGCTGAGAGAGAGGGGGAGGAGGGGGAAGCCCAGCTCTGCCTCCCGACGCTGCCGGCAGTGGCAGCTCCCCGAGCTTTGATCCCGCTGCGTGGGAGCCGGGAGAGAATCGATCCCGGGGGAGCAGCGGTGCCCACGCAGGACCCCAAAGCTCCCCATCCCCGGCTGTGTCCCCCCCCTACCCCGCTGTGCACCCCGGGGATGGAGGTTCCCTGTCACCAGAGCTCAGCACGCGTCTCTGGGGATGCCGCTGTTCATCTGGGGACACCGGCGTCACCAGGGGCTGTGTGGATGCCCTAAAACCGGAATTCCTGCGGGCACAACCCCGCGTGTCGCCGGTGACTCCAGTCCAGGACAGCCGCGGGGACACGGAAGCATCTGSGGATTAAAGCAGGATGTGGCAGCTGCCCCAGTGGCACCAGTATGGCCCCCAGTGGCTCTGGGTCTCCCCAGATGGCACCCACAGGGACACAGCCGTTGCCACTGTTGGTGGCCCAGCGATGGTGGCCGTGGTCCCGCGCGGTGTCCCTGTCCCACAGCAGGCAGGAGCCTTTCCCGGCCTTCGGCTGCCATCTGCTGCCAGCGGCGAGGCCGGTCCCCATCCCCGCTCCCGCTCCCGCTCCCTGTCCCTGTTCCTATCCCTGTCCCTGTCCCTGTTCCTATCCCTGTCCCTGTCCCTGTCCCTGTCCCTCTCCCTGTCCCTGTTCCTGTCCCTGTCCCTCTCCCTGTCCCTGTCCCTCTCCCTGTCCCCATCCCCGCTCCCGCTCCCTGTCCCTGTCCCTGTCCCTGTCCCTGTCCCTGTCCCTCTCCTTGTCCCTGTCCCTGTCCCTGTCCCTGTCCCTGTCCCTGTCCCTGTCCCTGTCCCTGTCCCTTTCCCTGTCCCTCTCCCTGTCCCTGTCCCTGCAGCAGAATCCCAGGGACTCCCCTGTCCCCCAGCTTCACCCCAGTGCCTCTCGGGGCACCCACTCTGGTGCCATCACGTGTCACTCATGTCCCCAGAACATCCCCATCCCCTGCCCGGGCTGTCCCCAAGGCCCATCTGCGCCCCTGTTTGTGGCCATTACGCTGTGACCGGAGGGACAGGGCTGACGGTGGCCCCGTGCCCGCCCCCGGCTCATCCCCCCGCGCTTCCCGGCAGCGCCGTGCCCTGGCACCGAGGGCCCCCCGGCTGTGCCACGGCTCCGGCTCCGCACAAAGCCCCTTTCAGCCGCCGGGGAAAGCCCCTGGCACCCAGTCCTGGCCCCCGCCACCCCCTGCCAGGGGCCACCAGGGGTAAAAGGTCCCCCAAACTCAGTGCATGTGTGGCCAGTGACACGGCCATGCCTGCCCAGCTGTGTGGGACAAACCTCCACCCRGATCTGGGATTTGGGGCCACCAGGCAGCGGTTCCCCCAGCCAGTGGGGTGGGAAGGACTCTGAAACCTCCAATGGCTTAATTAACAGCCGGCCTTAATTAGTAGCCTGCCCTTATGGTCGGGCTGGGGTGGTGGGCTCTGGGGGCTGGTGCTGAGCTGCCTGTGGAGCTCATCCCGGGGGGATGCAGCACGGAAACCATGGAGGGGTGCACACGTGTGCAAGGGTTCGTGTGTGTGCCCACACAGGGTATGTGTACAGGGGAGGGCAGAGGGGCACGGGCCGCTCTGGGGATGCGTGTGAGAAAGCAGCACTGGGCGTGTGTCAGTGTGCACTGAGTGTGTGCACACGTGTGCAAGGGAGGCACCTGTGTGTGTGCATGGCACATGCGGGGGGTGTTTGTGTGTGCATGGCACGTGTTGTGTGTGTGTGCGTGGCACATGGTGTGTGTGTGATGGCACATGGTGTGTGTGTGTATGTGTGTGTGCATGGCACGTGTTGTGTGTGTGTGCATGACACATGGTGTGTGTGTGTGTGCATTGCACATGGTGTGTGTGTGTGTGCATTGCACATGGTGTGTGTGTGTGCATGGCACACGGGGCGGTGTTTGTGTGTGCATGGCACGTGGTGTGTTTGCATGCATGGCACATGTTATGTGTGTTTGGGCATGCATGGCACATGGTGTGTGTGTGTGCRTGCACACGACTGAGTGTGTGTGAGCAAAAGCCGCTGTGCATGAACACCAGTGGGTGAGTGTGAGCACAAGGGGCTGTGCGTGAGCTCGAGCGGGTGTGTGCACACCCCACGTGTAAATCCCTTTATCCACCGCTGGACCACATGCATGCAGCTCTCTTTGTGCAGGTCTCTCCGTGCAGATCTCTCCGTGCAGCTCTCTCTGTGCACATTCTCCCCATACTCACACAGGTCTCTACGGGCAGATCCCACAAACATCTCTGTGGGTCTCTAACCCCCGCACCCCCTGTGCCCCACACCATCGCACCCAGCCCCCACCCGGCCTCACCCGGCCCCACCCGCCGTGCCCGTGGCCACCGCGCTGTCCCCACCCCGGCGCATTGCCCGGGTCCCGCGGTGCTGGCCGGGGATGGGCAGCGAGCAGGGGCAGTGCCGCGGTGCCCGGGCCCGGTGCCAGGGCACAGCCACCCCGCCGGGCGCCACAGCCTGGCGTCGGGCCGGCCCGCTGGCTCCTGGCTGGTGGCCAGCACCGGGGCGGCCGGAGGGACGGGGGCTCCGGGCTCCATAAAAGCCCTGTGCCGGGCCCATCGCACCCATCCCTCGGCATGGAGAGCCAGCGCCCGTCCTCCTACGGCCGCCGCTTCGGCCCGTCCATCCCCGTGTACCGGGTGCTCCCCGCCGGTGCCCCGGGCCAGCTCCGTGCTCCCCGCAGCGCCCAGCTGAGTCCCCGCACRGCTCCCCGCCTGGGCTCGGCCAAGATGGACTTCTCGCTGGTCACCGCGCTCAACTTGCAGTTCAGGGAGACRCGCACCAGCGAGAAGGTGGAGATGATGGAGCTCAACGACCGCTTCGCCAGCTACATCGAGAAGGTGCGGCTGCTGGAGCAGCGGAACAAGGCGCTGGTGCTGGAGCTGAGCCAGGCGCGGGAGCCCTCGCGTTCGGCCGATGTGTGCCAGGAGGAGCTGCGGGAGCTGCGGCGCCGTCTGGAGCAGCTGGCCACCGCCAAGGATCGGCTGGAGGTGGACAGGGACAACCTGGCCGAGGAGCTCGGCAGCCTGCAGCAGAAGTGAGGCGCTGTCTGGCTTGGGGTCATCCAGGGGACGGGGGTGGCCCGTTTGGGATGGGTGTCAGGGTGACCATCGTGACCAGGGTGGCAGCAGGGACCAGGGTGGACACCAGGATGGYGATCAGGATCTTTCTGGTGATGGGAGCCGTGGTGGTGACAAGGAGGAGGGTGACCCCTGGGACCAGATTGAGTCTGGGGTGTACCAGTGGTCAGAGTGGCCACTGAGACAGGAGCAGGGTAGCCCTGGGGACCAGGGACGGGTGTGATCTGTCCTGGGCACCAGGACTGTGATGGGACATGGGTGACCCCTGGGAATGGTGTGGGACAGTGTGGGGTGTGTGGGGTGGACACACGAGCTGACCTGGGTTTGGGGGGGGTGCTGCTGTGGGGCTGTGTCGGCCCAGGGGGGGTCAGTCTGTGGGCTGAGAGTGACCAGTCACAGTGCTGGACGTGTAACGGTGCCTCTGCCCCGGCACAGGCTGCAGGACGAGGTGACCCTGAGGATGGAGGCCGAGAGCAACCTGGCTGCCTACAGGCAGGTGAGGACAGGGGCCAGGTCCTGCATCCCCCATCCTGCACCCCAGGGGCTCTGCTTCCATTGGGAACGGACAGGAATGGGGTAGGGATGGACAGGATGGTGGCAGGGATGGACGGGGATGGACAGGGAGGTGGCAGGGACAAGAAGGGATGGACAGAGATGGACAGGGATGTGGCAGGAGCAGGAACTGAGGGGCTGGGTTACAATGGGCAAAATGGGACAGGAATGGAGCAGGGATGGATGGGGAGGGCAGGGATGGACAGATACAGAGCATGGATGGGCAGGAATGGCAGGAGCAGGCAGGGAGGGACTGGGATATGATGGGCAGGGAGAGGCAGGGCTGGGTGGGATTGGGAGGGAATGGACAGAGCAGATCCCAGAGCCGGGTGGCCAGCYTGGGACAGCCCCTCCTCTGCCCCACGGTGACAGGACGTGGACAATGCTGCCCTGGCTCGCCTGGACCTGGAGCGGCGCGTGGGGACCCTGCAGGACGAGATCGCCTTCCTGCGCAAGGTCCACGAGGAGGTAACCCTGCTCTGGGGCTGGGGGCGGGGGGCTCGGGGGGCTGCTCTGACCCCCCTGTCCCCACAGGAGCTGCCCTGACCCCCCTGTCCCCATAGGGGCTGCCCTGACTCTCCTGTCCCCATAGGGGCTGCCCTGACCCCCCTGTCCCCACAGGGACTGCCCTGACCCCCCTGTCCCCACAGAGGCTGCCCTGACCCCCCTGTCCCCCCAGAGGTTGCTCTGACCCCCCTGTCCCCACAGGAGCTGCGGGAGCTGCAGGAGCAGCTGGCCCAGCAGCGGGTGCACATCGAGGTGGACGCCA